TAGAGCCGATCAGAACATGGAGAGAAATGAAAGTATTAATGCGTAAATAGAGCCGATCAGAACATGGAGAGAAATGAAAGTATTAATGCGTAAACGATACGTTCCTCCACATTTCCACCGAGAACTTCAGCGTAAGTATAGGCGAATCTCACAAGGTGCTAAGACGGTGGAAGAATTCTTTGAAGAATTCGAGCACCTTAGGAGTCGGTTGGAATTAGATGAGGATGAGGAGGCGGTGATGGCCCAATTTCTTGATGGACTTAATGAGCGTATTGCTCGGAAGGTCGAGCGCCATCCATACCGTGATCTCCATGAGCTTCTGCACTTAGCCGTGCAAATTGAAAAACAAAACCAGAGGAAACAAACCCGGCTAAGTAAATTCAAAAACCCTCCTAGTCTCTCCTCGCCCATAGCCAAAACACCGGCCATAACCCGAAAGGAACCCTCTGAGAACCGTAGCAACCGTGATTACCGGGAGAAAGGAAAATCCCCCGAGACATCGCAAACCAAACCCACCCATGACGCTCCTCGTGACACTAGAACTAGAGAGATTATGTGTTATAAGTGTCGGGGTCGGGGACATATGGCTCGTGATTGTCCAAACTCCCGAGTAATGATCATCACCGATAAGGGAGAATACGAGTCTCTAGACGAGGAAGAGGCGGATGATCTCGAGGAAGAGATCGAATATCCCGACAGTGGGGAACTCTTAGTTACCCGACGAGTTCTTAGTACTATGGTAAACCCGGACGAGACCGCACAACGAGAGACAATATTCCATACTCGTTGCACCATCCAAGGAAAGGTTTGCGGGTTGATAATCGACAGTGGTTCATGCACCAATGTGGCTAGCGCCTACATGGTGAAGAAATTAGGACTTACGCCCGAAAAACATCTGCACCCCTATAAGCTACAATGGTTGAATAACCAAGGGGAAATCAAAGTGAGCGAGAGAGTAAAAATTCCTTTTAGCATCGGACGTTACCACGATGAGGTTGTGTGTGATGTCGTTCCCATGCAAGCGGGGCACATGCTACTAGGACGACCCTGGCAATTTGACCGAGAGGTCATGCACGACGGACGAGCCAACCAGTACACTCTTATACACAACAAGAAGAAAATTGTGCTCGCTCCTTTAACGCCATCTCAAGTACACGAGATGCAGCTGCGACTCGCCAAGGAAACCGAAGTGAAAAAGGAAAATTTCTACATGCGGTCTAGTCAAGTCGAGAAGGCCCTTAGGCAAGAGTGTCCTTCGGTGATCCTGATGGTCTTTAAAGACCAAATCACACTCCGAACTGATTCCTCTCACGAGAATTCAGCCATATCCCGGCTTCTTGATCAGTTCCAGGATGTTTTTCCCGAGGATATCCCAGCAGGACTCCCTCCGATCCGCGGTATTGAGCACCAAATCGATCTAGTACCCGGTGCGCCGCTACCTAACCGCCCAGCCTACCGTATGAACCCCGAGGAAACAAAAGAGCTCGAGAAGCAGGTTCGAGAGCTGATGGATAAGGGGTATATTAGGGAGAGTTTGAGTCCATGCGCTGTTCCGGTACTCCTATACCGAAGAAAGACGGGACGTGGCGGATGTGCGTAGACTGCCGTGCAATAAACAACATCACGGTCAAGTATCGCCATCCAATTCCCCGCCTTGATGATATGCTCGACGAGCTTAGTGGAGCCACGATCTTCTCAAAGATCGACTTGAAAAGTGGCTATCATCAAGTCCGAATGAAAGAAGGCGACGAATGGAAAACCGCCTTCAAGACGAAACAAGGACTCTATGAGTGGCTTGTAATGCCATTCGGGCTCACTAACGCCCCGAGTACTTTCATGAGGCTCATGAATCACATTTTGAGAGCCTTCATTGGAAAATTCGTGGTCGTGTACTTTGACGACATCCTCGTATACAGTCGAACCGCGGTAGACCACGTGACTCACTTGGAACAAGTCCTAACCACCTTGCGGAGAGAAAGCCTTTACGCCAATTTGAAGAAATGCTCGTTCTGCACTAACGAGATCGTCTTCCTAGGCTTCGTGGTTAGCTCTAGTGGACTTAGGGTCGATGAGGAAAAGATCAAAGCCATAACGGAATGGCCGACCCCTACCACTGTTGGACACGTGCGTAGTTTCCACGGCTTAGCTAGCTTTTACCGTCGTTTCGTGCGGGATTTTAGTAGCATAGCCGCTCCCCTTACTGCGGTCATCAAGAAGGACGTACCCTTGGAGTGGGGAGATACACAAGAGCGCGCCTTTGCTGCGCTCAAGGACAGCCTTACACATGCTCCCGTCTTGGTTCTCCCGAACTTTGACAAGATATTTGAGGTCGAGTGTGACGCATCCGGAATTGGCATAGGAGCCGTCCTTATGCAAGAAAAGAAACCCGTAGCTTTCTTTAGTGAAAAGTTAAGCGGGGCTGCGCTCAATTACCCGACCTATGACAAGGAGCTATATGCACTTGTACGAGCTCTAGAGACTTGGCAACATTACTTGTTGGCCAAAGAATTCGTAGTGCATTCGGATCATGAGACGCTAAAGCATCTCAAGGGCCAAACCACTCTTAAGCGTCGGCACGCTAAGTGGTTAGAGTTTATTGAAACATTCCCGTACATTATCAAGTACAAGAAAGGAAAGGAGAATGTTGTGGCCGATGCTTTGTCTCGCCGACACACATTGATCTCGGTCATGGAAACGAGATTGTTCGGTTTTGAGCACGTGAAGGCACGGTATGAGGATGACCGTGACTTCGGAACCCTCGTAGAAGAATGTAAGAAAGGTGGTTTCGGTCCCTATTACTTGCATGATGGGTATCTTTTCCGAGATAGACGTCTATGTATTCCTCAAGGATCTTTACGAGATGTCATACTCCGAGAAGCTCATGGAGGAGCTCTCGCTGGTCACTTCGGAGTAGACAAGACGTTGGCTGCTGTACAAGAACATTTCTTTTGGCCACATCTTAAGCGAGATGTACGGAGGTTTTGCGCCAAATGCGTCGAATGCCATCGAGCAAAATCAAAGGTGCAACCTCACGGACTGTACATGCCCCTACCGATCCCTACGCAGCCTTGGGTCGACATATCCATGGACTTCGTTCTTGGACTACCCAAGATCCAACACAAGGATTCTATCTTTGTCGTTGTTGATCGGGTTTCAAAGATGGCTCATTTCGTGCCTTGTGCCAAGACGGACGATGCTAAAAACATCGCCAATCTATTCTTTCGAGAGATAGTCCGTCTTCACGGCATACCAAGGACTATAGTGTCGGATCGAGATTCGAAATTTCTCAGCCACTTTTGGCGGACACTTTGGAAGAAGATCGGCACGAAACTCGTCTTTTCAACGACTTGTCACCCGCAAACGGATGGACAGACCGAGGTGGTCAATCGAACGTTATCCACTCTGTATCGGGAAGACATTAGGGAATTGGGTTGAGTGCATACCTCATATTGAGTTCGCTTATAACCGAGCGATACATTCGGCATCTAAACACTCCCCATTTGAGATCGTGTATGGATTTAATCCAATTACACCACTTCATCTCCTTGCCCTACCCGACCACGAGGTTCTTAATCTCGATGGAGAGAAAAAGGCCAAGTTCGTTAAGCAGCTGCATCAACGCGTCCGCGATAATATTGCTAAGCGAACCGAGTCCTACGCAAAGCGTGCCAACAAAGGCCGTAAGACGATGACATTCAAGGAGGGTGATTGGGTTTGGCTGCATTTTCGACCTGAGCGTTTCCCGGATAAACGCAAATCCAAACTATCACCAAGAGGCGATGGGCCATTCCGAGTCATAGAGCGAATTAACGATAATGCCTATCGTCTAGAGTTACCTAATGAGTTTAATGTTTCCGATTCTTTTAATGTGGCTGATCTACTTCCTTTCGATGCAGGTACAAACATTTCGAGGGCGAAATCTTCTCAAGAGGGGGAAAATGATGAGGACATCACCAAGGACAAGGAACATGAAGACGCGGAGCTTGTAGATGCGGAGCTTGGAGACGCGGAGCTTGGAGATGCGGAGCAAGGAGCGGAACCA